AAAAAATGACCAAAGACGGTCACTCTGCAATTGATTCCAGAAACATTTTATTTCTTTTTGTTTCCGTCTTTTTTTTTATAAAATTTATTTTATTTATCTTCTTTTTTTTTGCTTCTCCAAATAGTGATCGTGTTTCGTTTCATGTAATTAAGGGTAGCATTGATTCGTTATCTTTTACTCAGGGAGGAGAAGAATGTGTTTGGAGGAAGGAAATGCGAAAAATTGGAAAAAAAACAGTTGAAAGGAAAATTTTTATGTTTTTGCGTTGCAGCGCTGTTGTGATGCAACAGTGAGCACTGATGCCGTCAACATGAATAGCTATAAATTTAATATTTATAGGCGTGCCGACGGTTGCACCAAAGAAAGGAGCTGAACGATAATCTGCTTCCGGTCGGTAAAGGTACGACTGCGCTGACGGTTCTGGATGAAGATCCAGACGAATTCATTCCGAACATGAATTATAAAGTCGGATCTGCCCGGCGCAAACAGCTTTATGATAAAAGGGTATATATTTTTCACCAAATTGGACCACCTTTTTTTAGCTGTGGTGCTCTGTCATCCCTCTTTTTTTCCCCCTTGCTGAGGAGAACATCAATAATGTTTTCTTCTTCTCTCGAGAGCATTACAGTTTGTTTTATATTTAGTGGTACGAATCCTTTTATTTTCTAGTAACCGTCTTCATAATTACTCTCATACCTTTTGTCGGAAGCAGTGGGTTTAAATCACACTTATGTATACAAAAAATGCCAAGATATTCTTTATAAGTGCCAAGGTATTATTTCCACTTCTGTAATTTACATAAATTATCTTAATTTTTTATTCATTTTTTAGCTAAATCGCGCTACGGTTCGACCATCCGTTTTGATGTTAAATTAGTAATGGCATAGATCAGAAAATCAAACCCACCATCGGCTTAGTTTTAGCAGCCTCGAAAAAGAGGGCTCGGCGGTTTCGCCAGCGGAAATAATACCCACTTGTTGTTGGAGCTTGCTACCATTAAGGCTAAATCTCGGATGCCTCATTTCTCGTATAGGGTGAATATGGAAGGAGTTTTGACACTGATAATGTAAGCGAAATAGTTTCTTGTTTTCCAGACAGCTTCCTTCTTGCACTATTTATAAGAAGCTCGTTAAAAGCGCATGGCTTTTAAGTTACACATTTCTAGTTTTTCATAATTTGATATGGGTAATCGGGCGATTTCTCAAACTTATTCACTGTAAACTGTATAACTAATAAGTTTGAGATTTAGATGGCCAAAGCGTTACATAGTTCGCTCCCGAGTGCCGGTGAAGAGTGCTACATCTATGTGATGGAGGTAGATCTTGTCCAGGCTGTCTCAGGTGCGGCAAATCCGAGGAATCGTCGATTTGTTAATCCGCTTGACACCGAATTTTGTTTTGGCTTCTTGTCGAACACGAAGATCCCCAAGGTATGTTCGATTATGGAGAATTTTAATGCTTCTTTTAATTAATATTCGCAGGGAACTTGCCAATTCATGTGGACGAGCTAGTGTTTGAGTTAGGCATTTTCAGAGAAAAGTCAAACAACCTCGTCGTCGACGTTAGCAGGGGTTTTGCACAGTCCTCTTGCGTTGATAATTGCCATTATGGAGCCTTAACTTTCCATCCGGCTTGGAAATGCTATGTTTACCTTGTAGTAATTTGTCCTTTACGTTTTTTGGGGGTCAAAGGGAAACTGAAATTTTGGGGCAATATGATCCCTTGTGTTGCTGTAATAATAAATGTTTAAAATTGTCTTCCGTGCTTTTGACTGTTTTTGTAAATTATTCATCCAGCTATTCCTTCTCAGCTAATCCCACTTCTGAAGGCATAAAAAAAACATTGGCGACGCGCATAGGTCAAGCCCGTAAGATCATGCGTTTTTGTAGTATTTCGGGTTGTTGTAAGTTCGCTTGAGGTCGGAGTAGCTAGAATTTATGGCACACTGGTCCTAGAAGTTCGGGAAATTAATTGTGCAACTACAGAGGACTTAGTCAGTGGACATCCCCTTAAAATTTCAGCTTCCCAGCATTCGTGGTTTCTAAGTTAGCAACTTGCCCACTAGAAACCTTCACGGGGTCGTATGTGAGAACCACGCATACCTGGGAGTTGAATATGGAATCTTTGAGTTCTATGTGGGCGGAGAACATA